ACGAAAAACACTTCTCAACAAATCCCGGCAAAAGCCGGTAGGCACTGCATAGCCGACTCACAAGTTTTTTTTTTTTGCTACTCTGTTGCTCGTTCAAAACAACCTGAACAATCCGAGAATGGAAATCTGGCAGCACAAATATCACAACAAAAGCACACAGCCAACGACACTGCGGCTCAACTTACGTTTCGTTGTCAATTACGTTACGTTGGCACATTTTTTATTTTGCTGATAGCAAGCTACTCTCTCAACCTTGCAGCAAAACCGAATCTTGCAAACTGCAATATTTATGGGCTAGCCAAGTTTGTTTCCGTCGTCTCTAATATTTCGACCACACAAATCAATTCTTAAATGTTAATACATCAGGAATATTCACTTTTTAAAACACTGATGTTTGTTTGGTGTACAATTTTCCACTTTAAACCCGGAGATATCTTTTAACGCAACACGCACAGAGAGACCACAGCAAATTAACGTAGCAAATTATCGCAACAACGGTGGGAGAAAAATGCATAAATTTGCACGCACATACACACAAACGAAAAGAGCTGCGCAGGTTTAAGTGCTGCCACATGATTTTAATTTTAAATAAAGTTAAGATCTGATGAAGTACTCATTTTTACGATAAAAGTTAAAAAAACTGTCTGCATTTGAGGTATTTGAAATAACAGTAACAGTATTTAAATTTTAAAACAGTATTTTAAAAGTATTTTGAATAGGAACTTATAAATTTTTTACAATCTGCAAAATTGACGAAGTGGCAACCATCTATAGAAGGAAGAAATCAGCTGACACGGAAAAAGCTGAAATTAGTCAAGAACGCAGAACGTATACTTAAAGGCAGTCTGTATACGCAGAATTTTGTCGATTGCTGGAGCCCTCAGTGTTGCTTACTACAGTGTTGCCACTCATCAATGCCTTTTCATAAACTTACCTTTTCATTTACAATTTTTCGTGCTATAATAGATCGTTGCTAAATATAAACTACTTAGTTTTCAACAAAAAACCTTATTCAATAGTAAATTTCAAATATCTTAAACGTATTTTGAATAGGAAATTAAAACTGGTTTACCATCAGCAAAACTGACGATGTGCCAACCATCTATAAAAGGAAGAAATAAGCTGACACGGAAAAATCTAAATTCCGCAGAGTTCTGCGCTACGGGCTACAACTACAGAAACATTCTGCGGTGTTGAGTTTTCATTTACATGGCGCTCTGGTAAGACAGATCGTGTCAGCTGACTCGGGTTTGCGTACCGGTAGGTTTGCGTTCTTGACTAATTTCACCTATATATTGGTGTTGGCACGGCGACAGTGTTAGCGCAATTGCGCCATGCAGCGCAGTGTTACCAAAACCCAAAATTTACGATCTTACTTGACTGTGCTTGAGGAAAACCCATGCGCGACGTTGTATTTGTAATTGATTTTCAAAAAAAAGTTTGTGAAAGCAGGTTCGTCAGCTGAGCGTTTGTTTACATTGCAAGCACCACTATTTAAGACTAGTAGGACACAGTGGATAAAGCTACAGACTGTACAGAACACCGCACTCAGGACAGCGACAGGATGCCTCCTGATATCACCAGAACATCACCTCCACAACGAGGCACAAATGCTCCCCATAAAGGAGCACAACATAATGCTCTGCAAGCAGTTTCTGATCGGGAGCCCCAGAAGTGGCCATCCGAACAGACAGCTGCTTGCAGAGGAACCCTCGCCTAGGCACGTCAGGAGGAATCTATATGAACTGACGGACGAAGTCCAGAGGTACGTCAAGCAGCCTCTGGACCCGTCAGCTTACCGACTGACCCTGAACGGCATTCACAGGGAGTCAGTCTCGAGTCATGTAGACTCCAGACCTGTGAATGCCGTTCTAGGCACACCACCACCGGACACAGACGAGACGGAGCTTCATCTGCCTCGGGAGACACGAACGACAATATCCCAACTTCGCTCTGGCTACTGCAGCAGGTTAAACTCTTACTTAAGTAGATTGAATGAGGATGTGCCAAATGAGTGTCCGGCATGCGGAGAGACCCCACATGACTCGAAACATCTCTTCGCATGCCCGGAAAACCCGACTACCCTAACGGCTTTGTCCTTGTGGACGGACCCGATAGAAGCTGCACGGTTCCTAGGGCTGCCGTTAGTGGAACTTGACGACAACGACTGAGATATCAACCGATCTGGGCGGGGTTGTTGTAGCCGCTACAACAACAACAACAACAACTCCACCATAAACATTACCAGAGATATGCAGTAAGAAAAATTCGATTTGTATGGGAGTTGCCGCGGCCCCTTTTCCAATAACCACAATTTTTCTCCATGAGTATGCGAAATTTTTCGCGATATGGAGTATGAAAAATTTGGTTTGTATGGCAGGTGCCACACCCCTCTTTTCCGATAACCACAATTTTTCTGCATCAGTATGCGATTGCTTTCATATAGTATCTCCATACCATGTTCGAGTTCTCTTCCATGTACATTTTTCGGGATATGCAGTATGAAAAATTCGGTTTGTATGGGAGGTGCCACGCCCCCTGCACCTAGCGGCATGAAATATACTTTACATCCGATTCTCATACCTACCATATATACACAAAAAAAATCCATAAAGATCGGTCGAGCCGTTTAGGAGGTGTTCGGCCCCACAAACGCCGTGACACGAGATTTTTATATATTAGAATATAAAAAACAACGATAAAACATTTCGACATTTATTTAAAATGGCATTGAGTTCGCAAAAACTTTTACAAAGCACAAGCAAGAATCAAATATGTACATTTTTCGAACGCAGATTGAAATATTTTGCTATTTCCGGTGCTGACATTCCATTGATTTCGTTGGCCACTTTATCCGTAGCTCTATTAACAAGATCCCGTTGTTGCAACTCATCGGCGGCGCTAATCATTTGGAATAATGTCTCATTGTCAATATTTAAGAAGTTCTCCTTCCATTTCTCAATATCCCCAGTGACTAATCCATAAGACTCGTCATCACATTTTTCTGCCCATATGATAATGCGACGTAAAATGTTTGATGTTATTTTATTTAACGATATACAGCCTTCCTCATCAGCAAACGTTTTTGCTTCACGAACTATGGGAGCTTTCTCAAATAGTTTGTCGCGTGTCTCCAAAATTTCACCATCCTTGGTGCGAATTTTCAAGTCGGTAAGTGCCATTTCGTAGCACTGGAGTTTGCCTTTGCTGGTGATTATTTGCACACCTTGGTGTAGCTTTAAGCGAACTAAACTGAGGGGATTTCTGTTATTGCAAAATAGTCGTTTGATTGATAATTGTTGGAAACAAGTACATGTATAGGCTTTATCACATACACTTGCATGTCTGCATATATGTACAATGTACATTGTACATACATATGTATGAATATATTTAATGTAATTTTATTGAAAATGTTCTAGTGGCAGAGTCTCTCTTGTGCATAATATTATGTATTATTATGTAATATTAATATTATTATGTATGTAAGTATGTATATAGTTTTCATAAATAAATATTACAAGTAATTTTGAAGCAAAAAACCAAAACCGACTTCAATTCTCATATAAATCGTTAATTTCTTCATGATCCGATTATCGGATTTAAACCAAATTAATATCGGACCACCAGTGAGATAACACCTTTTCTTTAAAAAAGAATTATAGAAATCGGTTAACGTGGTCCAAAGTTATGCGGTAACATACATAAAAAAAATCCGAGGAATTGATAACATTTCTCCTTTTTGTAAATTCGGTTAAAAATAATATGGTTAGCCCTTCTATTGTCATTACCATTATATAGTCTACAATGGATATAACCAACGTATGGTTTATTTGCTGACCAATTTTATAAGTAAATCAAAAAAATAATTTGCAAGATTTGTAAAACTCTTTGAGAAGACCTTAATTTACTGGATTCGTTGCTCCGGATCCAACTTATATAGGAAACCACGTCAGTATAATAGCCAGCAAAACCACAACCCTCACCAAATGATACGATACCTGCCACAATTCCATTACATATTAAAGGACCACTCGAGTCTCCTGAACATGCGTCCCTCTCAAGATCATCGTTATTACCAGCACAAAGCATACCATAAGCAAATTTATTAATTTTTGATTTGCAATAGGATTGGTTCAAAACACACGAAAAAACGTTTGAAATGAAGTGAGCCATTTCAAATCCCGCTGAACCGTTTTCAAATGTTACATATTGAAGTACATTATATGCCCGTTGCTGTCAATTTTTGCACAAAAAATATTGCAATATCAAATTTAAAACTAATATTTCGGTAAGACATTTCAAAATAAACTTAAAAATTATAAAAATGCTTTTGATCAAATTTTTTGAATTGTGTTTTATGTGTGCGTTCAGAAATGCATCAAGCCAAAGAATCAGTCTCTTTTACTTCTAAACTATAACTGATGGAAATGCCTTATTTACGCAACTAAGTTCCATTTAGGCATTTAACCGTGGTTGCGCATATTGGACATTTCCACCAATTATAGTTGAGAAATAAATGCGTATGATGCTTTGGCTTGATGCATTTCTGAACACACCGCTTGATTCATCCATCTAGGGAAAAAAGGGCCCCAACCTCTAAAACTTCCAAGCGAGTGCAAATGTTTTCGAACTGAAATCACATACTCTTCAAACTATTCCAGTTTCGGCAAAATTTATGTGAGTACCCTCATGATGTAATTTCTTCTCCAAGGGAGTGATTTATAATGTACACTAACAATATCAGCAAAGATATAAAAATCGAAGTGACCAAGAAAACAATTGCTGTACAAAATACAAACGAGCGCCTGGGGAGAGTCAATTACATTTATTATGATAAAGTGCTTTAAACCTGGTGAGATTTGGTAAAACCTCTGCTATGTAATTTTAGCCATATAATTTTGATTAAAATTACATACTGCTTTTTAGTTATTTCGTTTATATTTTACATATGTAAATCCATTAAAAGCGCAAGTGTGAGCAGCGAATGCTTATTAATTTTGAGTCAACAATTAACATTTTATTTCTCCTCACACCATTCGTTCTCCTTACGCACCTGTTCTTCTTCGGCTGGTGTAAAATCGTTTTTTATATTGAAAGTTTTACGTATCTCTTCTGGTGTTTTCCCTTTGATCATATTGGCCACAGTCTTGCAAGTAACATCTAATAATCCTTTTATATCCAAGTAATTAGCGGCTAAGATCAATTCGAATAGTGTGCCCTGATCAACTTTTAGAAAATCTGCATCCCAAGAAGAGATATCATCAGTACGCTTTTCTTTGTTTTCGTCATCTTCGGTTGGTTGTGGATCATCTTTGTGATAAGTTGCCCAGGTAAGTACTTTACGTAGTATGGCAGAATTTACATTGGGTAATGGAACAGTAGCATTTTCGCTGTCGTCCATACCACAATCCTCCAACATGGTTTTGATTGTGCCCGAGCATTTTGCTATTTGCACATCGGTCTCAAATTTTTCGTCGTCCGATGATTGCAGTGTGATAGGCATTTTGATTTGCTATTTCTGAAATAAAGAACAAAATATACACGAACATTTAACACATATTCACATATACATATGGATCCAGGTATAAAGAGCTAGAGCTTAAAAGCATTGCGACCAACTCACTTTTGTTAACAAATTTCACCTTCTAAATCTTTTCCCAAAATGAATCGCAGCGTCCTATGCGTGCCCAACTTTTGTATTTTTGATGATCTACAAGCGTTTTGCAATTTTCACCAAATAATACTTTGATTTTCACAAAGAATTTTCTGGGACCACTCTTGTAGCTTCTCAAAATAATTTAACCGAGGAAGATGACAGAGACGCAATAAAATGTATGAAGTGCAGAGTTGCATGTACAAGGTATGCGCACAGTTCAAATGTTACGGTACAATCCAAGGTACATTGAACAGGTAGTATCAGTAGAGCAGCTGATTTGATTTATTTTCAAATTATTTGGTCTCGAAAATGTCAAATATTTTTAATTTTTTCTTACAAAAATTCTGAATTGTTAAAATCCATTTGCATGTGAAACCTTTTTCCATACAAAACAAGCGATTGAATAGCAGCTGTTGGAACGTTCGCCCAACTCAGCAGCACAACCGCTGATTACTGGCCTTTGTAAAGGATGGATCAATGCTTCGAGAAGCAAACAAATTTACTAGGAAAGAAAGTTGCATCAATTTTTATTTTTTCCAATTTCAATTTTTTATTTTTTATATTTTTTTGTATTTCACATGGCACGCTTTGATTTAGAAGAAAAAATTCAGAACAGTTTTTGACACTTTCGATACCAGAAGCAACAACAAAATACACGCAAATGTTGTTTTTGCTCTACTTTAATGTGCCTTGGTACAATCGAAGGATGCCGCTATGAGCTTTGTTTCTTAACAGATAATTATCACTAATATCTGCTGGAAACCCAAACCTTAACCCAAAAAACTAGCAGAAACTAGCAGCTCTGTGTTCTTACGTTCTTCTTTTTTGCTCTCCTGCTTATTTCTGCTAGTAAAATTTTTACTAGCAGAAACCAGCAGCTGTCAAAATGGGTAAACGAAAATAAGCGCCAAATAAAGCACTCCATAATCCCGACTAGACATAATCCAGACAATTTTCAAAAATCCAGACAATACAAAATCCAGACAGGACATAATACAGACATAACAAAATCCCGACCAAATAAAATACAGATAACACATTATTCAGACAAGACAAAATCCCGACAATTCAAAATCCCGACAAGACACAATCCAGACAAAAAAAATTACAATGCGTCCGGAAATAAAATTGATGACTTATGCTTAGATATAAACGGTTACCACTCCACATTTTTTCGCTTTTTCACTGCAAGGAGCCTAACGCTCTCGGCAACCATTTTACCACAAGGACGAAAGCTGCGTATTCTCGTCGATGCAAACTAATTCCAACGGTGAATAACCGGAAAATTGTCAGATCTAGCTCTCGATCCCGGCGCATACAACCGAAAAGACAAAGAAACGGTTTTGCAAACATACAAAGCCGGGAACAATTGGTTCGCCGGGGACAATTGGTTCGCAGTGGACGAAACTAAAGACATGCCACAATATAACACCCTGGACAACCAGGGGATGTCTTCTGATGTCGCTAGAACATCACATCCACAGTAAAGCCGAAATTCTCCCAGTAAGGTGCTACAGTTGTCAGCACTCGAACTTGCTTTATCTGAAGGACCAGGTCCAGCACTACGCACAGAACCCCTGGTACTGGGACTGTACAGACAGGCTATTAACTGTATTTACAAACTCCAGTCAAGTGAATGCCGTCATCAGTGCCAATCACCACCTGTGAACGAGAGTGAGCTTCAACCGCCACGAGTAACCCCAACGGAGGCCCAACTCGCCTACCAACATCGAAAATGAGTGTCCAGCATGTGGAGATTCCCCCCTTGACACCAACCACCTCTTCACATGCTCACTCAATTCAACTCAACTAACATCCCCATCTCCCTCTGGTTATACCTCATCGAAATATCAAATCTCCTGGGCCTACCGTTAGTTAAGCCGGCGGACAATTACGGGCTAAGTAAGCCCTTACAACAATAACAACAACTGTGTCTTATATACATTATTTTTGAGTGAAAACAGAAGACAATCATGACAAAAATCCCGACAAAATATAAAAACAATTAAAAAATCCCGCTATTTTTTAATTATTTTTATATTTTGTCGGGATTTCTTGTCTGGATTGAGCCTTGTCGGAATTATGGCTGCATTTCTTTATTCATTCTGAACGTTTGGAATAAACTTTTTTGTTTATTTATTCTTTAGAACGTTCCTGATGATATGTTGACGTATATTTCAAACGCATGCTGTTTATTCCGGCTGTGAAATGGGATTATCCGGAATGTATAAAGAAACGCAGCCTATGTATGGTCGGGATTGTGTCTTGTCGGGATTATGTATGGTCGGGATTTGGTTGTGTCTGGATAATGTCTTTCGGGATTCTGTATTTGGGTCTTTTGTATATCGGGATTTCATTATACACCCATAAAATTAAGGTAATAAGGAAAAGGATATTCCAGATTCAACATGTATTATGGGTATGTGTAGAAATTTAACAAGCAACAGTCGTTAACATCTGACATTTTAGTTTAGTTTTTTTTATACATAATTCATTAATCGTTTGAAAATAAATGTTTTTGACCTAAATGCGCGTTTGTTTCCATTCTATTCATTATATAAATTATACCAAAATACATGCTAACGTGCTACTGTGCAGTCATCATATGTCCACAGAAATGTTGAAGCGCACGCCCCCGCTCCAAATAATCGAACATGGTTGTAACGACGAGCCGCCCATAATGCATAGCAGGCCATCAAGAGTAGCAGTGTTAGAATTGACAGTACCAGCTGATAGAAGATCGTCATTTTATTGTAGCTGAAAAAGTTTTCCAATAAGGATATTAGAAAGAGAGTTCAGTAAAAAAACAAAGATAAGTATTGTAATTACTTCCATACTTACACAGATATTTTTTTCTGAACATCGCGTATTCGTGACTGATGACCGCATTCGCAACATTTGACATCGTTGAGGGTACGAAAAAGGTCTGCTCTTCGTTTTTCCTTATACTTGCAAAATATATCTCGAATGTCTTCGGATAGCTCCGCTACATCAGACATGCTGATGGGAACCTGGAATTATGTAAATTCCGTTGAAAAAAATAAGAAAACCACCAGCGGCCACAAAAATATATCTGTAAATAATTTCAAATGACAACCGTGCCTATATAAATTTGAAATTACTTCTTCGGGTTGGTATGTTACTTAAAAAGTATTAGTTTCTATAGGGATGAGCATGAACCAAAAAGACAAGATCACGCGGGCAGGAGACTAGCCCGTTAGAATCGCATTAAGGAAAAAAGTTGAACGATTTTGACATTAGCCGTTTATTTACATTTCTTCGTTGTTTACAATTTGGTGGTGGCTTTTTACTGCAATTTTCTTCATTTTCGCTTGTGACAACGTGTGTACACATAAGATAAAGAATAATTTAACACAACGGCATGATTTTTAGAAGAATTTGCATAATAAAAATGATTTTTCATGCGTTCAACAATTTCGCGGTTTTCTCCGTTCTCTTCGTTGTTTACTTCTTACAGCAAAGATGGCGTCGAGATTTCGGCAGCTAGAAAATAACTTTTTTCGTTCTTTCCGTCCCGCGTGATCTTGTGTCTTTCGTTCATGAGGGATGAGAAATTAGTGTATTCATAGTTAATATAAATTCGGCACAGAAATAGTTGCAGTTTTGTGACAATTTTCAATGGAATATCTGTAAAAAAAAAGTGCCTTTGACTTTAGAATCGATTACGAGTATCCCCAATAATTTTGTTAACTATATAGTGAAGTATATAAAAATTAGGGCTATGCGATTAATTGATTACTCAAAATTTTAATTAATCATAAAGTAAATAACTCAGTTATTCGATTAATTAGAAATTATGATTACTCAAAAGTTCAGTTACTCGAGTAATCAAGGTTTTTGATTAACCAAAAAAAAAAAATATTTGAGTTATTTGCTTTATGATTAATCAACATTTTGAGTACAATGAGTAATCAACATTTCAACTCCTTACATATGTATAACGTAGTTAAAGTTCCTTGATACTTTGAAAACAACGTTTCTGTTTTCAAAAATTAAAGCGAAATTTTTTTTCATATACAGAATGTAAAAAAGAAAATAAGCATTTTCCAAAGCAAACTCTTTTAACGACCAAAATTATTATTTTTTGATTAATCATATTTCAAGTAACTCGATTAATCATCGTTTTGAGTAATCAAAATCATGATTACTCGAGTAATTGATTAACCGAATAATTGATTAATCAACTTGCTCGAGTAATCGAATAATCGCACAGCCCTAATAAAAATGGATAAAAAAAAATACCTCTTTCAATTTGTCAACTTTGTGTTAAGAAGTTGCATGCCGATCAATCAAGCTGATGTCAGATAAAACTTTGTGGCTTTGCGTGCCACAATGAACGTCAAGAAAACAATTTTGTATTGTTTTTTTTTTTTACTCGTTAAAATTGCTGTAGATTTTATATATTTAGCATTTAAAATATTAGCAATGTAATTAAATATTATGTCTCTGCATGAAAACTCGAATTTGAACGCAAAAAAATAAATACATATTAAACCGTATGTGCATTTCCATACAATTAATCTTAACTGTCAAAGCGAATCTGTCACGCAAAGCGAAGCAAGCGTTTTATCTGGCGTCAGCTTCACTGTTTTGATTATTTTGAAGACAGTAAATCAGACAGCGATTTGACGTATGCAGACAATAATTTTGACATCTTGTGCAACAAAGAAGAGAAATTCATAACAAAACATCTATAATAAGGAGCGTTCCTTATCTCCCAGAAATAGTCAGAAAAAGTCCGAAGTAGTCAGAATTGAGTCCAAAAAGCGTTGCTTAACTCGAAAATGACAGCAAAAATGAGAGAGCAACACTCAGTGAGAGTGACTCTCATCAGTCCGAAGTAGTCAGATTTAGTCAGAAGAATTTTTTCTGGCAAAATCCTGAAAGGTGTCAAACTCAACTAAATTTAAATTTAAATTTAAATTAAAGAATACGCAAAAAGTGAGAATAATCCAAAAAGGGAAAAAAGGGAATTGAAATTGGAAGGAGGCAAAAAATAATTAATATAGTAAGTGTTTATTGAGCTTGTGCTTGTGTGAATGTGTTTGTACATACATTTCCATTCTTATTTGACGTTAGTTTTGTTGTTGCAATTCTTTGGACTAAAAATTTGGTTTTTTGCGTTCCTTTACTTTTTCTGTTATTCTCTTTTAGTGAGCGCATTTTGCTTACGCTCTGGCATTTTGACACTTTTCAGATTTTAGTCCAAAAAGATAAGGAATGAACCTATAGCTAACGAGACGCAGATGTGTATGTAACTTTGTTTTTATAATTTTTTAATTTTTAGCTTGAATAACTCGCACGATATGCGTATTATAATACAACGTTCACGTCCGACAATTTCCTCAAAATGAATTGTCATAACTATTTTCAGTGCGCTTACACCACGCAAACAATTATCAGAGTTTTTCACAACTAATACGTATTTCTTTATTATCTTGATAGCATTTGGGGTGTTCACAGTTCGTTCCAAATTGTGTCTGAAAATGTAGACGTTTACATTTTGAGACATCTTTAGCATCAAACTGTGAGCAGCCCTTTCTAGCAGTCGTCGCAAAATCGTCTCAAAACCTTGCTGGTGTTGCCAGACATTTCTTCTTTGCGTGCATTTTTTATATGTCGCCTTTCGATTTTGTTTCTGAAAAATTGTAATTATTTAACTTAATTACCGATTCCTAATATTTGTTATTTCTTTTCCTTGATTTGTTTCTTTTCATCGGAAATTGCGCTCAAATTAAATGCAGATACAGAAAACGTGCCCAATAAATAAAAAAAAATGTGATTAGTATTGCCATAATGCAACCCTGCTGCGAGGTTGCAAAATGTAGACGCGTAAAAAACATACCTTTGAGTGTGACAAAATGTAGACGGCGTCGTTTTGAGATACTATTTGGAACGAACTGTGAACACCCCAATTGACAAATGTCATGGTGTAATAATAACAAGGTGTTGTCAGTAGCTTAACCTCACTTTTTCGGCAGAACTATTCCGGTCACGCATTTTAAGGTATTAGAAAAGATACTAATTATTTACTACTTTTAATCCGTTTGTGCATACTATTTCAAATTAAATGTAGAAAAATGTATAATTACAGGCTTATAAGCCTGAAAATATGTTTGTATCATCAGCTCCACACAGCATGGACATATATTGTAACTTATAAAAAAGTAAAGGCCGCAAAGTAAAGCAATTTCCTATAAGACTGTAAATGATTTTTTAAATAGATTAAAACACATAAATATCGATAATATAAGCGGAATCGTAATTTAACCATACTGCCGCTCTATTCTAGTGGATCAGTAGTCCATTTGGCTCGATATTATGACAATGCAGCAAAAGATATTTAATATAAAAAAATCGCCTTTCCGTACGATTTTTGTGTACGTCTTTTTCCACTGATTACCACGATATCTCTTATATTTTATATTTTAAGGACACAAATTATACAAATCCAGCAGTTTTAAATATAAATATCGTTCTGAAAACACCAAGTTCTATAAAAATCTCGATAAAACGAAATAATAAAATGGGTATTTTAGATACTATTTCCCAACGAATAATAGTATAAAAATTTTGATCGGCAGCACTGAAAATAAGCATGCCGATCTTGTCAAAATTACAACAAACACGTCGCCACTGACAACACCTTGTTATTATTCCACCATCGTCTAATGTAAACACGCCGTTATATCAACGAAAAATATCGAACGTGTGTCCCAACTGGCTATGACAAGCACAAGCTTTTATTTTATAATTTTTTTGCACAACATGTAACAAATCCGGTCTTTTGGCTTAAGAAACCCATTCTTACCACCTATAATTATATAATTAAAAACTAAAAACTTCTCCATAAAAAAATCCTATTCACATTTGTTCAAGTTACAGCTAACAGTTGGGAGATTTTGTAATCCGCAAATTATCTTGTCAAAGGGATTGTTTTTTGTTTATCGTAATTTTCTTCAAAATTAGAAATGGTAGTTTCATTGTCAATTTATTGCACCATATTGGTGTCGCGCTATGAAAGACTACTTGCGTAGACTAAGGTTATGGCAGCAAATAATTTTTACTTTCGGAACGAGGCTCTATCGTCGCGAAGACGAACGAGGACAACTACAACGAGCGCAAAGACGCTGTAAGAATTTTTGTGGTTTCTGTTTCGTTTTTTATTCGGTGCAAAGTGAATGCGAATTCAAAATTTATTTTTTAATTTTTATTTTTTGCTGCAATATATGAGCTTATCTTTTTAAAAGCAAAAGTGCTTACGAAAAGTGAGTTTTTCGTGAGAGTTTAATGGCGTGAGGGAACGAAAACGAAAACAAAGAAGTCGAAGAAACTTCTGTGCGCGAGCGCTTGCTCCGAGTAGCTGGCTAGCACGGTCAGCCAGACAGCAGTCGGAAAAATTAAAACGGAAGGAACAACTTGCCGAAAAAATCAAGTTCAATCGCACTGGGATTTATATAAATTTTTTCAAATCTATGGAAGTTGGATTGTCGGAGGAGTATAAATTGGTAAATAACTACAACAGGCATACATTAAACCCTAATTATTTTTTTTCGTTCTTAAGGATGGTTGGTTTTTTTTTTTCTTGGATTTTGTCAATTTCGCTGTTGACGCTGGCTGGTCAGTTTTTCCAGCTATGCCTTGATAGTATCGGTTTATCTCACTTGCACCAATGCAGATAGAATGTATAGGCCTTAGAAGTGATAATTCCCTTTGTCTTCAGGAGTACACATATTGCGAGTGCTTAGTGAAGTAGATCGAACGAACGGCATCGGTATAAAGTTAAGCATTCGGTAAAAAGGAAAAAAGCTCAATCAATGTTTTAAGCTTAAAATATAGTTCGTCAATTAATAATTAGTATTCAGCAACTTTGTTAAAAAGAAGCCCAACATTCGGATTGTTTATGTGATTCAATGTATTAAATGACATATAAGCATGGGTGATGGCGACGGTCGGCTTCGACAGCTGATGCGAAGTCGCAGCAGCGCTGCTAAAGTATCAACACACTACAGCTTATGTGGGTAGAATAGTCATTTCGTTCGCACCTGCAGCTGAATACAAGTGTGCAAGTTGGCCCTTTTTGCCTAGAGCGGCCAATACGCAGTTACCACTGTTTGCTTGTCGAAAGATCAAACAGGAATGTTAAAATTTTACTGAACTAAAACAGTTGGCCAAATAATGGCATAAAATAAATTGCATGATTTTATGGATTGAATTTGGCTGATGGATTCTATTTTTTAATTAATGTGCAAGCGGTCATTATATCACGAGAAAGAGATGTTACCCAAATTGTATGATTCTTTTTGTGAAAAATTTTAATTTGCGTTAATTTTAGAAAAACCCTTCCAAATACTTTGTTTTTCGTAGATGTGGAAAATCAAATTTATTTCCAATCAAAACAGTTCTCGTGTCTATTTAAATTATACATTCATGGTAGTTGATAATTCAATGATTGTCATCCAATTAAATTTTGATTTGCGTGAAAAACATAAACATTTTCATTCACATGTATGTACATTCATGCATATGTATGCATACAGTATTGACCATATCTATAGCACCCCCATTTCAAAATGATATTGTTTGCCACTTATATTTAATTTTTTATTTTTAAGAATTTTCATTTAGAATACAGTTCATTCTCTAACAAACACATATAAACCCAAGTTTTAAAATTTGTAAAAGACATTAAAATAATGCAACGAATTTTCGCTTCTGTATAACGAATAAACTGTCGGAAAAACATCCAAAAAAATCAACGGTAATTTTTAGTCACTTGAAACTTGCACATTATTAGACTAAAATTGAATGGGCTATAAAACTGTGTACTCCAAAAAATTCTAGCGCTTCTGAGAAAAAAGTTTAAAAATTTGGGTGAAAATTTGTGGCATTTTTAACCGACTTCACAAAAAGGGGAAAGGTTATCAATTCGTCGGAATATTTTTTTTTTTTTTGTATGTGGCCGCATAACTTTGGACCACGTTTACCGCTTTCGATAATCGGATCATGAAGAAATTAATGATAATCTTAAATTTTTATATGAGAATTGAAGTCGGTTTTGTTTTTTGCTTAAAAATTACTTGTTTTGTAGTCTTTTACGAAAGTTTTAAACTTTGGTTTATATGAGTTTTGTTAGAGAATGAACTGTAATGAATTGAAAATTCCTAAAAATCAATAAACATGAGTTGCAAAAAATATCACTTTGAAATGGGGGTGCTACTGTATTGGCCAATACTGTATATCTATGTATGTACATATGCACATCTGATTGTCTTATTTTTTACAGTGACTGTTACCTGTTAAGCAGGTGCGGTAGCATCAGTGGTAGTTACAGCAACAGTGAAAACATTATGGTTGTTGGTTCGAGTCATCAACGGCGTGGTGGTGGTGATACGGTTATCAATAGCAAATACTCGAATTCATCGACATCCACTGTTTCTTCCTCCACCTCCAATCAAAGTACGTCCGGTTGCCATCATTCTTTACACAACGGCACAGATCAAACTATCTCTGGTAAATCACATTCGATGTCTTCACATGGCAGTAGCGGATGTAGTAACAGTTCGAATGGCCATTCCCACCATCAAAATTCATATAACGGACATACCAATGGTTATCATTTAGGAAATGGTAATGGCAGTACGAATGGTACTGCCAGTAACAGCGTTAGTCGACTCTCGCAGTCGACGGGAATGACCCCCAAAGAATTGTCGGAGAATGATGATCTGGCAACTTCATTGATTTTGGATCCTCATCTGGGGTTTCAGACGCACAAAATGAACATACGCTATCGTCCGCTCAAAGTGGATAGAGCTCAGTTGAAGATAGTGGTAGATGACTTCATTGCAACTCAAAATTACGATGTGGCAGTGAAGAAAATTTTCAGTGGGCCATGGATTCCTCGAAGCTTCAAAAGTAAAAACAAAATAGCCTTCAAGCGCCTTCATGATCATGTAAGTTCGTTTTATAGATTTATTATTTTGTGCTAAATAAAGGTGATACAATTCCAATCATGGCCGCTATATTTGTTTTTGAATTCTTTATAGATTATACGTTATTTGCGTGTATTCGATAAGGACAGTGGTTTTGTTATTGAGGCCTGCTATCGTTACTCACTTGAGGGTCAAAAGGGAGCTAAAATTAGTTCAACAAAGCGATGGTCAAAGAATGATAAAATCGAATGCCTTGTGGGCTGCATTGCGGAGCTATCCGAAGCTGAGGAGGCTGCTTTACTACATACAGGAAAAAATGATTTCTCCGTAATGTACAGCTGTAGGAAAAACTGTGCGCAACTGTGGCTTGGTCCAGCTGCGTATATAAACCATGACTGCCGGGCTAATTGTAAATTTGTTGCCACTGGGCGGGATACAGCATGCGTTAAAGTATTGCGCGATATTGAGGTTGGAGAAGAAATTACTTGTTTCTATGGGGAGGATTTCTTTGGCGATGGCAACTGCTATTGTGAATGCGAAACATGCGAACGACGTGGCACCGGAGCGTTTGCCGGGAAAGTAATAAAAGGAAATGTTAGCAGTGATGCTAATGCTCTTGCGATGGGCTTAAGTGGATCATGTGTGATCGGTATAAATACCCAGGATCCAAATGCCAGCGGCGGCTACCGCCTACGTGAAACTGATAATCGTATTAATCGTATCAAAAGTAGGGCTAACTCTACGAGTTCAATGAACGTAGACAATAGCGCTTGTACAAGTGCCCCATCAGCATTGATTGAAACATCAGCCGGTGTTCAGGTCAAGAAATTAGAAGGCGGATCGTTGGACAGCGATAATGTTAATATTGAAAGTATGAAAAAACAACAGCCAACTGTGGTTGTGACACCACTGACCATGAAGGAACTGCGTCAAAAGGGTATGACTAAGTACGACGCCGAAATGATCATGGCCAATACCTACCAGCGTCATCATCATCACCATCATCAATCCCATAACCAAATTCTGCATCAAGATCCATGTGGAAAACAATCGGTTGACGGAAGTACTGCAACCAAAACAGGTGGCAACGGCTTTAACGTTGGCCGAGAGTCGTTGCGCAAATCAGCACGTGTTAACAGTACGAGTAGTACAATTTCTTCCGGTTCGGCAGAAGAACAGCCTGTCAGCGTTACAACTGCGCTTGCCCGTAATAGCAGCAGCGGCGGAGCCGCAGCAAAGGCGCATGCAACTACAGCCGCCGAACCAGGGTTTAGTGCTGCTGCGAGCATTTCACGAAGGCCATTGAGAAAAGGAGCTGGAAATGGTGTACCGAAAATCAACACCATCAATAATAAAACTGGCTACGTGACTCGTAGTAGTGGCAGACAAACGCGTTCGACAGCAATTGCGCGTTTGGAGGAGGCAGATAGTTTGGACCAACAGGAAATAACAGGTTTAAATGCGGCAGATCGCCCGATGGAGAATGAGAATGATGAAGTCAGAGATGAAAAGAGAACTGTAAATAATCGCAAGGACGAACAGAACACACTTGCAATAGTTGCAACGAAAACTAACGATCGCCAGCGACACGACAAACCAACACGCACGCGCAACGGACTGACTCGTGTGACGGCGTCCTTGGGTAATAACATCGGTGGACGCGTTTTACGAAATCATCACCAACATCACTCAACTACACATCATAATGATGAAGTAGAATCACACACAGGCGTGGACGCGAAAGCAACTGCCACTGATACCCAAACGAATCGTAATAATTATAATAGTAACAATAGTTGTAATAATAGTGTTAGCTTAAGTAGTATTTGTAGTACTAGTAGTAATTGTAGTAGCGGAACAGATTCCAATCAGTTGGTGGGTGGGATTGGTGATAGATTGCCGGCTGGTATGCACTATCCAACAACAGCAGCAATGCAGAAGCCTGGCAGCTTGCTTGCAAATGTTACAGTTACTGACAATGGCGAAACTTTTGATGTTAGTAGCGCAAGCTGTGTGCATGAAAAGAATAATATTACGCCGAGTTATCGCAAGAACTTAATGGGATCCTTTGAAGAAGCGTCTTTGGGAGCACCATGTATGCAATTGACAGAGCCTTCTAATTCGCGGGATGTGTCCCAAACTCAATTACAGCGCTCAACTCGTCGAAACCAGCTTCGCTGCGTCATTAAATCGACTTCGATGACAATGTCTATGAGTGATAATGGACCGCGTAAAAGGCGATCATCTCAGGGGATTGAACAGAAAATTTACGATAACGCCAATTGTAACGGAAAAGGTGCATTCGACAAGGGTGTGGGTGGCAAAGCTGAAACATTCAATCAAGACTGTGCGCCTGTGCTTCCACCCACTGCCATGGAAACGCTGTTGAAGACACCGGAGCGACGTTTGAAGCTTACGCTTCGAATGAAACGCTCCCCTATACTCGACGAAGTTATCGAATCTGGCACAAGCCTGAGTGATGAAAGCAGCAGTTTTAATGGCTCATTCAGTCGCGCATCATCGCATTCCACCGAACCGGTGGAATATGAGATTTTACGAATGGAGGGCATTTCAGAAAATGGCGTCGACTACGACAGTATTCCGTTAAAACGCAAAAAACGACACAAAAGCAAGGATCATCATCACCACCATCGGCATCGCAGTCGCCACCATCAACATCGCCGCTTTAATGCGGATATATGTAATTCCCAGGAATTGAGTTCTATGGCCGCGGACTTGGCGACAACGCCCCCAGGCGCACCGGCTGCGCAGTCTAGTCCCCGCGCTGTGTTGCCAACGTCAACGACAAGAATTGGGGGGATTGGTGTGCAAACGCCTCAGAAAAAACGACTTCGTTTGATATTTGGTAATGAGACGCACACCATTGACATTCCAGCGCTTAGTGTGAACGATAGCCTTAATAATACAACTTTTGACACAAGTGGAAGTAGCGCCGAGTATGATAACGAAACGGCTGATGTGAGTGATTCGATTGAGTCCAACACCACTATTTCGGCCGCAGTAACTCCAACCACAAGTACTGGTGTCAGCGCCAATACAAGCATAAGCACACGTGCGAATGCTTCATTGCTGGCAAATACCTCGTTTTCCACATCCTCAACAGCACCCACTGAGGCGGCCGTTTCACCGCAATCCAATTCCAATTTGAGTGCGTGTTCATCCTCAAATTCAGCCTACGTCTCGGCCGGTTCCACAGCATCTGCTTCGACGTCGATGCCGTTGCCGTTGCGTGCAGGTCACGATCGGCAGGAACTCACAGTGCCCACAGCAGCTGCTATACCACCATCCACAATCACATCAGCTCCTGCATTCACCGCTGTCACAACGACAGCCTCCGAAAATATTGCTGGCACATCAGTGGCGTCGAATACAGTCGTAGCTCCGCCATTGCTGCAACATAAACCATTTACGCTTATGCAGCATCAACAACTACAAACACCTTCAGCTCCTGCGGCCGTGGCACATCCCAACTTCAGCGCTTATTTGCAACACCCGCTTGGCGGTGCCACCAGTATAGCAGGCATTTCAAAGCCTTCAGCTACAAGCGTGCCAGTTGGCATTGGCGGAAGCAGCAATATTAACGGTGTTACAGCAGCGCTTGCACCCCCTTTGTTTCTTTCGCAGGCGAGCGTACCAAAACATACTTTTGGGTCATGCGCTCTTCTACCGCCTCCTACTTTTGCGCGCAATCTGACCGTTAGTGGTCATATGTTGCCAATGGGCGGCAGTTTAACCGCTACACACAATGCTGTATCGTCCAATGCATCGCTTTGTGCGCTGAATGCACATGTCAGTACAACGACACCTTTGGCGGTTGGAACAACAACAGCAATGTCTAGCATCGGTTCGATAGGTGGTGCCGGCTGCAGTAGCACTGTAATGGCCAAAAAGGGGAATGATCTTATGAATTGACGTTCATTTTTTGACATTGCACATTGCACATTGCACTGCTCATCGAGGTTTTCTGCTGCTGCTGCTGCTGAAGTTGTGGCTGTGTTCTTGGCTGAATTGTGCCAAGAAAGTTAGGCGCGTTTCCGGGCGATATATCGTTTAATATGTTCTTGCAATAATTTATTGAAAAATGAGTGTAGTTTGTTTCTCTATGAATGTCTGTTTGTTGTAAAATATCTTCTTAAAAGCATTTTAAATTTAACGCAGCGGCAAATGATCAAGACCTGACATAGGTGTAAAGTTATGGTGGAAAGTCGGGCAGATAGGTATGGGTTACATTACACATATGTTCATTAGGTATTCAAATATTTAGCGATTCACCTGGTAGGCATAGAAGTTAAATGTTACAAGTACGCTAATTCGCTTCTTGGTTTCTGTATTTCAAATACATTTGTGAAATATTTAACAGGCAGGTGAAATGGAGGCTGTAGAGCAGGCATGGATGGCAGTGTAGAGTTTTGTTACTACAAACTAAAATTTTTAGAATGAAAATATGATCATAATTTTAAGGTAAAAGTTTCACGTAAAGTTTTTTAAACACAAAGTTTATATAAATGATGTTTTAAATCGTAATTATTTCCCCAAATAAATTATTGTATATTTTACAAAATTTTAGCCACAAATTTTCATTAGGTATCACTTTAGATTTGCCTTTTTTTGAAATGGGAACTTAGACTGCTGGAACAACACTCCTTCAATGGGTAGATCCTTGTTGTTCCATAGCTTGAAAATTACTATTTAGAACTGTTCCAAATCAAATGTTTTCGCATGACTCAGTTGGGTGTAGATTGCTTCACAGAAAGTGGTGCATCTATAAATTTATTTCTCAATAGGAATTTCGTAGATGTGAGTAGGCTTTTCGGTTTATAAAAAGCTAAACAATTGAATATATTACAACAGGCCACTTGTAGTGCTGCTGAAATTTGTATAGTTTTCTGGGCCGCTATCACATATGCATGTATTTTGTAGGTCTGACCCCGTATTTCTCGGACTTCGTAAGTTCGCTGTAGTACGGCATCAGACCTTGTATGTATGGTGCCTCGCATAGATGATGTTGACCTACTTTCCTTTCTCCTTTTCTCTTTTGTTTTGCAGATGGAAAATGTATACAAAATTTTAAAGAAAAATATCTGAATAATTATAAAAATGAATTGAATTGTCGTAGTAGTGCGCCGATTAATAGTTTTTTAGCAAATTGTCAACATAATTTCGACAACAAAAACAACTACAAGTACGGCTTTATAGGTCAATGCAGCAACTATAATAAGCAGAGTAATACTGCCGAATATGAGAACAGCCCGAAAGGTCAGCATACACTTTTTAGTAACCTCTCCAATAATATGAACAACAATGTTTGTAACAGTAATAATAATTTGTACATGAACAATGAAATAATGCAAAAGTGTAGCAGAAGAGTAACAAAGACCACAACAACAAATAATAGCAGCAAGAATCCTAACAATAACAGTAATTCAAGTAATTTAATGGTTAAGAAATTAAGAATAGAAATCAATCGAATTCAAATCATGTACCGCTAAATTGAAGAATTGCTTAAGATTAAAAAAAAAAATGTAAATGCTAAAACTTCGGTTGGAGCAATGCCGGCTGAGAAAGCCGTAAAAAATTCACTGACTGACAGTGCAATATTCAATTGCTAATGTTGAGTTGAAGCCCATGTGAACATGAATAAGAATTGTAAGAAAAATCTTAGATATGTACATACATATAATATGTAAAATCAAATAAATATACTGTAGCTAAAACATTTGTAATAAAATTCGGTTGTAAAGCAGAATTTAACTTGTAAAATGAATAAAATGGGAGTAACGAGCGATTGTAGAAAAAAAAAACTGAAAAAAGTTATGCAAAATAAGATATTTAAATACGCTACAAAAAGTGCACATTGCAACGTATAGCATCTTGGCAAATATAAATAAAAAAAATACACAGAAGAATTGAATTTTTTGCTGGATAAAAAGCTTAAGAATTAAAAAAAGTCTGTTTTCTCAAACGCATTAATGCAAAGTCCCAGTCTCTTTTATATCTTAACCACAGGAGCTAACAGTCTCTGATTTGCACTACTTTATCAAAAATAGGCAATTTTTGGTTGCAAATATTAGATGTTACTACATGCCATGATTTAGGAATAAAATAGGCGGATGCTTTGCATTCATACGTTTAAGAGGACAGCCGACATATGTATGTAATTATTGCTGCGAATAACAATTTTGAATCAAGGCCCCTTGAGTGGCAAAACTAAACGAAAAATAGAAACAAAAAACTAAGCTGTTTATATACATACATATATAAAATATCTTATTCTAAACATTTGAAAAAAGGTACATTTAAATTAATTGTGAAAAATACACTTACCAGAGAAAAATTTGCTGTTATTCGCAATGTTCAATGATTTTGTAAAGACTCGCCATGAAGTGATGCAGTATGAGTTCTAACCCATTCGAAATCTTCGAGCAATTGAGACTTGCGTTTCAAGATTTTCTTGAGACTTATCTAGCGTAAAAAAAAGCTAAACCAAGGTTTACAACCCACAATTCACAGATTATCAAAATTAGCGAAACCCAAACGCGGTGTAAGATATAAAATATGCAAACAGGAAAATTAAATAATATGCAGTTAAATATAAGTTTGCTGCATTGTAAATAAATAAAAAACAAATTGTGTTCTTTCTATAAATTCTAATAAATAAAATAGAAAAAAGAAATTAAAATAACAAATTAAAAACTAATTATAATAAAAACTGATTTAAATACATTAGACCTCTAATAACTTAGAACATTATAATGGTAAATGTAAAATAAAAAATCGTGAAAATAAAATTGAAAAGCACTAAATAAAACAAATGTCGAGTGATAAAATATTAAAACAAACCTAACTTATACATCGCGTTACTCGTTAGTTTGTCCAATTGATTTAACAATGAAATCTTAGTAAAAATTTATAAAAATGCGAAATCATCTGCATTTCAAAAAGAAAAATCTGATTTTAGCAAGTATGCTTAGTTAAATATGTATTTACGCTTGGCCAACATATAATTTAAGTTGATTTTATAATAATAGGTATAATATGTATGCTTGTAAAATATTAAATTGTTTTGTTTTTTTGTTTTTTTTTTGTTTTGTATACATACAAATACGTACCCACATTCATCTCAATTAATTTTAATGCAAAAATAAGAACTTTTATTTTTAACTGCTATTTTAAATGCATTAAATAAAGTTTCATTAAATATTTGTATACATATATTAAAAAAATAAAAATAAAAAAATAAATAAACACAAAAATGAATGTGAATATGTGGTACACGTGGAAGTCAAGTTTGACTATTTGACCAGTGCACAGAATTCAGGGGTAAGTTTGAGTGTACATAAATAAATTCGATCACGCTATATTTGTAGCTGCATTGCACACATCGCACACCTAGGTATAAAGTGGGATCAACTTAAAAAAAAAATAGGACCATCAATGCATACGACTTACCTCCAAAGAATGCAAATATGTTTTTTTTTTGTTTCTGATTATATACGCCAACTAAAAATCTACTGTTGTACTATCTGTATTTGTATTATTTGCGTTGAATCTGTACGATCCACAAGCAGTTATATTTACCGATCTGAATTTTGAGTTAGCTCACTTTAGATCTGGGTGTGCGATATGTGGTTATAAAATTTGAGGAGTGAAGTGCGGGTCTACGGAACCAGATCGATGATCATCTGCAGCAGGAAGTGAGGGCTTCGACTACAAAGATGCCTCTTTTAGTGTGCGAGAGTTTGAAGATGGCACCTAAGAAGCCGGAAAGGCGGCTGTATCTCCGGATGGAGTTTGCTGCTGGTGCTTCCGCCGAGTGCATCCCAGACAAAACTCTGCAGAGCATTGTATTGTAATCTTTTACGGGAAGCAGCTTTAAGTGCAGCGCTTATTTAGCTTGTTTTTACAGTCTACAAATTCCCCATATGTTAAGGAACGCTGCTAGACATACATACTTTGGGCATATATGAAACCTCGGTTGTTACGACAGTTTTTTGAGCGTTGAGGTTTGAAAGTAGAATGGTTGTTTCATGCTAACCGAAATTTTACTTAAAAATATACATAAGTACATGCAATTACTTACTTTTCAATAGTATGGTTTTATTTCAAAGATAAATTAGTTAAGCAAATTTGTATACAAATCAGTTTTTTAAATTATAATGTATTTTTTTCTTATGTATCGCTCTTTCTCGGCTTAAAACGTTATTAATCTGAAAGTAAGCCAGCACAGCACAATCACGTCTTGTGACTCGTGGTGCACGTAGGTATTTTTGTAAAATTATTTCTTCTGGTTTAGTGACCATATTTCTGGAATTCCCATTCCCTGTTGTCCAACGGACATACTTGTCGTGTCTTCAACCAACGTGAGATGCAATGGAAATGAAAAGCATGGTTGCAGACGCCCCAAGCAACTGTGCATTCTTCGCTGGTAGCAGATGCTTGATTTGCTTGGCATTCGATACACAAATCCATAATGTGGTTACGACAAATGGCACAATTGTCAACAACAATGTCTAAGGTAGAAAATAAATAAAAGTCGTGTAATTATCAAGTTTCACCATTTTGAGCCTTTGATGTTAGCAAGGATACGACTTCAAGGTTATGTTGCAATGAACATAAACTAGTATGAAGCGTGCCGTTAAAAGATACTCACCCCAAGCCCACAATGCCACAGCATTCCACTAAAATATATGAAATTTCTTCTATAAGCTACAAAATTCATGAATGCTATTCTTTTCTTACCTTTTTCACATCGAAACGCTTCTTTTCACCCTTGCTACTCGATGTTGGCACTTCGAAATCTTCCTCGTCGACTTCCATTGTATTTTGGCCAGTCGTTTTGGCGACGGTGTATTTAACAGGAAACTTTAAAAGCAAACGTTTCGTTTTTGCAGTATAATACTGCAATAAAGAAAAGGTTTATTTCTAAATTAAAAATAAAACTGGAATTAGTTTTCTGTCGCCCAAATTCGGCCAATGGACAGCCAAATGTCAAATTTCGCACGAACGATGACTGTCGCTTCTGCTCAGTGTTGCCTTCTTTTCACACAAAGATTGTTTAGGGGATCTTTGCTCATTGATTTATGTGTACAATTGAAACTTGCCCGAAATAGATGAATCTGGGCCACAGCTTTGATATAACGAGCCCTAATCGTCAAAAAGACGTAAGCGAAATTTTTTTCACAATTTGTTTTTGATATAGAAATGCATGTAGATGCCCTAGGACCGATTCTGCATCAAACAATTTGGTGGTAGGTTTCATTAAAAGCATTTAGAAAAATACTGCTTCTTGCTTACTTGAAATGTATGCTTTATATGCGTTGCTGGTAAAATTAGATAGAGTTCGCAACACTGGATATGGTAAACCGATGTACCACCCTGTGCTAATTGACATTTGTATTCGCTTTTTAAAATTTAAGTTGCATACACAGAAAAAAATGTATGCGTGATTTATTTAAATGAAACTTTAAGGAATTAAGGACTGAGGGAGAAATTTTGTACGGTGTGTGTGCTTTTCAATTAGACTGTTTTTACACAGTTCAAGTATAGAATTCAATTCTGCTCGCATGTGGAGAGAGGGGTTGAGAAGAAAAGGGACGAGTACACATGCGTCTGTACCGTCAAGTCGTTTCTACTTTCTTGCTTTGCTTTTGACATTTTCGATGCTTCCCATTTAAAGAACTAAAAACTTGAATTCAACAGATTTGAAGCGTGCAAAAGCAAATAGAAAACACAAAAGAGAATGAGCAAGAATTGCTTCCAAGTACTTGAATCATGTAAATCGGGTGTTATGGATAATGAGATTTAACTCACAAATTCCAACAATCAAATTTGTGCAAACACGTTGTAATATTCAATGGTTTACTAACGGTACTGAAAAGATCAACTAACGAGAGACCCAGGAAGTGTGCAACTTCGTTGGGTTAGTCCATAGGGGCAGATCGTTAGTTGTGTGGGGTTTGGGGAGGATGTGAAGAGGTGTCGCGAGTTGAGAAGTGTGCTATGGTGGTGCGAGTCTCCCAATGCAGACGAAGCTCTGTCTCCTTCACATAAGGTGGCTGTGGTCCCAAAATGGCTTTCGCAGGTCGGGAATCGGTTCAAGTCGAGACCAACTCCCTGTGAATGTCGTTTATGGCCTGCTGTTTTATGAACCTCTGGACTTCGACCGTGAGTTCGTACAGATACCTTCTGACGAAGAAGTTCGGAGAGGTAAGCGTTTACCTTCGAGCACAAGTCATCAATTCCATTCTCGGACGCCATTATCGAGTAGTAGTAGTAGTTGTTGTTGTTGTAGCGGCA